CTTATATGTATATAAGTAAAATGTAATTTATTAATTTTTATTTGATAAAGCTTTCCATGTGATTTCAAGTATATTAAATTTGGTTAAATTCGAAAATATTTCCTTTAAGAGTAACTTTTAAAAACTTTTCAGGGCCCGTGAAATGTCTCAAGATTATTCCTTGGTTATAGTTTTGAAATCCAACTTGAAAGACCATCAAATATATATATATGTGATTTAAAGATTATATACCTTTATAATTATTTTAAGATATCAATTAAATTTAAACCGGTTTTAGTATTAAAAATTTCGGTTGGGATCAGAGAATTAATCCTCTTTTTCAATTAGACCAATAAGCAATATATTTTGAATTCCTAATTATTTTCAGAGAAAACAAGATTTTCTTTTTTTTTTTAATATATTTTATTGATTTTATACAGAGAGGAAGGGAGAGAGATAGAGAGTTAGAGACATCGATGAGAGAGAAACATCGATCAGCTGCCTCCTGCACATCTCCCACTGGGGATATGCCTGCAACCCAGGTACATGCCCTTGACCGGAATCGAACCTGGGACCCTTCAGTTCGCAGGCCGACGCTCTATCCACTGAGCCAAACCGGTTTCGGCCAAGATTCTCTTAAAATTAAATTTCTATACTTATGCATTTAGTTATCACAACTATAATTTCTCCCAATTTCTTTTAACTAGAACTTTAAACTCTTAGCTGGCAAGTTGAATATTTAGCATTTCTTTAGATTAATAACACCTTATATTCTTAAGAATAAATTTGAAAAATACAAGACACAATCAATAGATTCAATTCTGTCCTCTAGATTTTTAATGAGGCAAATTTAAACTTTACTTTTTAGTTTCCAGCGGCTCTGGAAAACCACATTTGAGGCTTGTAAAGCAGGTTCTGACCTACCTGGTGTTTTCAGATGTAAATTGACCATATTCTTTTCTGCTGGAAATGTGACTAGCCCCAAGGATGGGAGACGGGGAAGCAAGCCTGTCTTTACAAGTTGCCACCGGTGGGAAATTTTTTTGGCCTACCTGCTTGTTCTGTTGGGGGAAGGGCAACTAGCCCCCCAATTAACAAAGGGCATCCCCAGTTTTTACCTGGGCTACCTAGATTTTTATAATTAATGTATTTCAATAATTCTTGAGATTCAAATCCAATTATTATTTTAAGGCCTATTTTTTAGATTAATTTTTGTAACAAAGACAATTTTACTGAATTTCTTTGCGGCCTAACAGTTAACTTTGGAATGCGGTTCATTAGCCATTTAAAGACTACTCTTATTAAGGAAAATACCAATCTTGTTGCTAGAACCAGCCTGCATTCTTTCCTTTGGTCAAATTTGCCGTTTTTCTTAGGAAATAATCAGTCTTGGGTTTTATTTTGTACCATCACAAAGAGAGATTTAAGCCTAGCTTATTAAAATCCAGAATCGGACTGTGCGCACATTTCGTCCCAAGCTAGTTTCTCTCTTTATGAGCACAGAAATCCCAGACACATTTCTAAATTTTGTAAAACTTTTCATGGTGAGAAGGAGACTTTAAATTAGCATATTCGGGGAGGGGCATCCATATTGGATCACCACGTGGCTCCTTCCTTCCCTTCCCCCACATCCTGCTTTGGGGGAATTTTCAGCCAATGACTCAAATGGCATATTTTTTCCCAAAGTCATGCTTAATAGAAAAACAGATTTTAAATGTGTCCTATTCAGGTTAGGGAAAATGCCTTTAAGCCATTCCCAACAGGTGACTACATGTGTGACTCAACCCTGTTGAGTCCCCAGGTCTTATCAACCTTTTGATGAAACTCTTGAAATTATGACATGCTGGACTTAGTTCCCGGCAGTATTCCCTCTATATGACCTATATGAGATTAAAAACCTTTTTCTAATGAATGACATTCTTCATTAGCTGCAAGTTCAGCTTGTCCCAGGATACCAAGGCCAGCCCCTACTCTTCCAAGTATTCCCCTTTTGCTTCTTTTAGGGGGCCAATGTTGTTGGATCCACCAGGAATGTTGTTGCCATTGGGTAGTTATGGCTTGGGAGCAGTTAGGGTATACTGAGTGGACCCAAAAATGTTGAGTTTCCCATGCCATAGTTAAATGGGTGAAGGTGACCCCCAAGTGAGCTAGAGTTTAAGTATTCCATAGGGCTTCCCACAAGCATCCAGGATGCAAGGATGGTGGGGTAGTTAGACATATCTACCCACCAAGTGATCCCAATAATTTCTGAAATGGGGATCCATTGATTTCTTTCTTTTTCACAGACATCCAGCCTCAAGAGTATGGCTGGTGAGTCCAAGAACAAGATATACTATGACAGATACGACAGGCTGCTGCAAGCCTTTGGCCATCATACCCAGGTGTTTTTCTTCACTTTTCATCATCCATCTCTATAGCTATACAATATTCATCCAGATTAGATCCATATACAATTCTACCAGTGGAATTATCAGGGAGGTATTTGCCTAAGGTGGGTCCTTTATGATAGATATAGTCAGAAAAAAAATGTACCAAAGCTTATATCGATAGTAGGAGAAGACCAATGTGTGGCTAACAAAGCATTAATTTCACTATCATACCTGATAATCAGAACATCATTGTGCAGTAGGTGGGAAAGATTCGCAGGTATCCAAGTTTACACCAAATCTCCTGGCTGTAAGCCATGATCTTTGAAATCTTCGTCTCCCGGGAGTGAACTGTGAAATGAATCTGTTACCAATTTGTTAGTTCCCAAAATGCAGAATGTCTTCTCTTTACTTTTCCTTATATTTGGGAAACAAAAGATTTAAAAGTCAACAATATTTTAAACAGCCATAAGAATAATTATCCTCAATTCATTTAGTCCCATAGTTATTTTTGTTTATCCTGATTATTTGCCAGTAGTTTTTGAATTCAGTTATTCCTTGAAGTTCTATAAATCTTCATCCAGTTCAAAAACATGACCTGCTTACAAGCCTGCAATTTAGAGTAAGTCAGAGTCCTTTTCATGGATTTCTCTAAACATATAATATAGCTACAAATGCATCGGAATAAAGATGTCCACGAATGACAAAATTTAAAAGTGGCATGGTTATAGATTTGATAAAAAACTTTGCTTTTCTATAAAATACACCATTCCAAGACAACAATTTCTTTGTAAGTAATAATCCCTGTAAAATGACATCGAGAATATAAAATTTGTATACCTTTATTTTTTTTAAATATATTTTATTGATTTTTTTATAGTGAGGAAGGGAAAGGGATAGAGTGTTTGGAACATTGATGAGAGGAACATCGATCAGCTGCCTCCTGCACATCCCTCACTGGGGATGTGCCCGCAACCAAGGTACATGCCCTTGACCGGAATCGAACCTAGGACCCTTCAGTCCGCAGGCCGACACTCTATCCACTGAGCCAAACCGGTTAGGGCAAAATTTGTATACCTTTAGATCCAATTATAATTTCAGCATATAAATAATAAATAATATGTAAGATTTTAAAATGAGGCACATGGCTTATTGCAGGCAGTGTATTCAGCAATGGAAATAATTCATAAACTCCCAATCTGTGAAAAGCAAATACCTAGAGCATCACTGGCAGACGCCCTCACGGGGAATCATGACTCTTGGCTTGTTCAGTGTCCCTAACAGGACACATACTACCCTACCCCCCTGAAAGTTTCCTGTTTGAACTTGGCTCTGAATCTCTACAAGTTCCTTTCTGAAGCAGATGCTTTAATAACCCACGTGACCTGTCCCTTGCTCTTGATTGGAGCTTAGGCACACAGTCTTTCGCAATTGGCTAATTCAAAAGGAGGGGTTGGCCTTTGCTGTTTCAAGATGACAGCCCCCAGGGGAGCAGCAAGACATGGGTCCAGGGTTTGATTAAAGTCAAGGGCACATGCCTGGATTGTGGGTTCGATCCCCAGTAGGGGGTGTGGAGTGGAGGAGGCAGCCGATCAATGATTCTCTCGCATCATTGATGTTTCTATAGCTCTCTCCCTCTCTCTTCCTCTCTGAAATCAATTATATATATATATATATATATATATATATATATATATATATATACTTTTTTTTTTTTTAAACAAACACAGACCTCAATTACTCAACCACAATAAGGGTGTGAAGCCATAGGGCCTGCCTGTCCCAGTGTCCAGCAGACGGCAGCGTGCCAGCCACCCAATCCTGGAGGGGCAGGTGTGGTCTTGTAGTCTCCTGGGCTGTGGCCTGGGGCTTCAAGCCTACGTGCATGGCTGGATCACATGTCAGGGACATTGTTCTAGCAGAAAACACTTTATTTAAAAAATACATATTTTTTTTATTCATATCACAGAGGAAGGGAGAGAAACATCACTGATGAGAGAAAATCATTGACTGGCTGCCTCCTGCATGCCCCCCTCACTGGGGATCGAGCCTGCAACCAGGCATGTGCCCTGACTGGAAATCTAACTGTGACGTCCTGGTTCATAGGTCAACACTTATTTTCTTATTAAAAAAATGAAGACCTGTACCTTGCTCCTTACCACCCCGTCTCCTCTTATCCCCGCCCTGTTCTTGCCCTCTACAAAGCTTTTTCCCGTCACCTTCCCATTTAACCTTTGCTGCCATTTTGCATTTGTCCTGGTGAGGAAGGGGAAGGAGGAACGTACAAGAGGACAGGTTTGTGCTGGGGAAGGCACAATGGCCTTGCTTTGCTGTGGGCAATAATCTCATTCCTCTTCAATTAATTTCTGTGTCAGTTATTACTAAAGTTATAAACTTTTCATATGTTCAGTTTTACGATTGATCTGATAAGGTACTTTAAAGCAAAAAAAACACCCCACAAATTTATTTTATTCCTTTATTTTGTTAATTTCCATCACCATTTATTCCCCCATACCCCGGTCCATGTCCATGAATTCTCTTTTTTTGCTCAGTCCCTCCACCCCTCTCACCCGACCCCATCAGAACTGTCTGCCTGTTCTCTATGGGTCTGTTTCTATAGTGTGTTCTTTCTCTTAGCAAAATGTTCAAATGCAGTTATTTGTGAGGATACCTTAAGGAGACCCAGTCCAGACTCCACTTAAAATTTGTAAGCATGAGTTTGAGTGCCTTTGTCCACCGCTCCTCCGTGTTCAGGTGGGTTCTGATGGAGTAGAATTCACCGGATCCTGGGTCCTCCATCAGGCCCTGCTCCACGTGGATCCTGTAGGGCATGTAGAGAGCTGGCTCACCCTTCTTGGCCGCCTCATTGAACTGCTGCATGCAGTCCAGGAAGGCCACCATGGCCTGGTCAAACTTGCTGTCCAAGAGAGAGCTCTTCCCCCCGGTGTAGAACAAGGGCAGCTCCACGGGGTCCTCTGTCAGTGACTTCAGGTAGGAGTGGTCTCCGCGGGGGATGAGCTGGTACCTCTGAAACTGCAGACCCACTGTGTTGGACAAGGCCACGAGCAGCAAGGCTGTGTGCCCCCAGGCTGCATTGATCTCCCTCCAGCTCACCAGGACAGTGGGGACACTACCCAACCTGAAGCTATTGATGATGGCCAGGGGGCCGTCACAGCAGATCTCAAATGCGGCCTTGAAGGCGTTGGTTCTCTTCAGCCTGGACAGCTGGGTCTGGGCGTACAGCAGCCGGTCCTCCAAGCTCAACAGCTCGTCCTGCAGTTCCTGTTGCTGCCACTGAAGTTCACCGAGGTCCTTGTGGTACTGCCTCTCCTGCTCCTCCAGCATCTCCGTCTCTGCCCGGGCTGCCTCCAGGGCCACAGCTGTCCTGTCTCGGTTCTTCTCCACCTCCTCCAGCTCCTGGGCCAGCCTGGCTTCCTCCAGCTCCACGGCCTTCAGCTCCTGCTCCAGCGTCTCCCTCACGTCCTCACCTAATCCATCCCTGGCCTCCAAACAGCGCTTGTAGGTCTGACTGTCAGACCCTGCGATTCTGAGCTGGGTGTCCATCTGCTCCAGGAGACTGTCGGTGCAGTCCTCACACAGGGGGTGGCCCAGCTCTTCACCGGATAGGACGTCACCAAGGCCCGCGATGGTCCCCTGGATGCTACTGAGAGTCCTCCTCGAGGCCAGCTTCCCGAGCAGGGTGAAGTGGCTGGGATTGTCCCTGGACATCTCGCTGTCACCAGAGATGGTCCAGCCAGAGGCACTGCCCTGCAGCTCTTCCAGGTCCGTCTCCGTCCTGGAGGCAGAGCCTTCCCCCGGAGTGTCTCCCGGCTCCCCCTGAGCTGAGGGGGAGGTCAAAGCTGCAGGTTCTTGGCTGAGGTCAAGGCCCGAGGTCTCCGTGGACAGGGTCGGCATCAGGGGCCGGCGGCAGAAATGGCAGATGAAGCAGGTGGAGGACATGGTGGAGGTCTTGATTTTCACCCTCGACTCTAAGTTCCCTCCGGCTCCCGGGTTACTTCTCCATTTATACTTTGTGAGGGCCTTTAGGGCCATGAGTGTTCACATGCATATCTCATGTGTCACTCTCCCACCTCAAACCTGACCCTCCTTAGTCAGTGAGTCTTTCTCCAAGGATGAAAGACAAGCATCTCACTTTCTTTAACATTTTTAAGGCATATCTTCTGAGTAATCTTCCTACACTTGATCTTAGCCAAAAGGCCCAGAACTGAGGGTAACCTTCCTAAAACTAAAATCTGATCATGGTGCTTCCCTCCTTAAAACATGTAATACCCTTATCTGACCTTGAGAAAAGGTCTTAACCTCTTTTATTTTTTAATATATTTCTATTGATTTCAGAGAGGAAGGGAGTGGGAGAGATAGAAACATCCATGATGAGAGAGAATCTTTGATCGGTTGCCTCTTGCATGCCCCCCACTGGAGTTCGAGCTTGCAACCCAGGCATGTACCCTTGACCGGAATGGAACCGAGGACCCTTCAGTCCACAGGCTGACGCTCTGTCCACTGAGCCAATCCAGGCAGGGCAAGGTCTTAACCTCTTAACCTGATTCTGCCCATGTTTCCAGGTTCTTTTCTCCTATTTCTCTCTTGTTTACTTTTAGATTCCCTGCACACCTTCCTCCTGATAGAATGGTTCACTGAGGCTGGAGGTGGGTTTGTGGCAAGGATCATGGTACACAGCAGGTGCTGAAGCAGCGCAGGTGTGGCCTGGGTTAGGGGGCAGGGTGGAGGTGAGGGGCAGCGCGGGCAGGGCAGGCACGGAACCGTGAGCTTTTCAGCCTGGTAGCTGGCAAGGCCCTTCTGCTAGTAGACAGCCTCATGGATGAACACGGGGTACCCAGTGGACTCCCCCTCCCAGGGCACATCCTCAGCGCTGAACCTCTGGAAGGTGTGTGTACCGGGCCCAGCGGCTGGAAGCCTCAGTCCCTGGTGGAAGAGCTGGGTGGAGTCAGAAGCTGCGGCCACCAAGGCCCTCAACTTCGTGCAAAGGTCGGCCCGCAGCACTCGGAGGCGGGGGCCCAGCTCCGGGACTGGGGACCAGGAAGGAACGGGTCAGGCAGGCATCCCAGACACTTGGACACTCCAGACCCCAGGCCCCTGACACCGCCCATCACCTCTCTGCCCATTTCTCGCCACCCTCACCCATGGGCTCCTCTGTGTTCCTGAAAAACAATTGCATTTCTCTCTCTCTCTCTCTTTATTGATTTTTATTGAGAGGAAGGGAGAGGGAGAAACATCAATGTGAGAGCAAAACATTGACTTCTGTCAACTACCCAGTTGCTGGGGTCCAACTCCAGTAGGTCCAGGGGTCCCCAAAGGTGTGGACGGAGTCGGCGAAGAAGGAATGACACAGAGACAGCGTTCAGTTGATCAGCAGCCTAGCCAGGATCTCTAGCCAAGTTCTGGTTAGGATCTCCAGCCAGGTTCTGTGTCCATGTTCTCTTGCTAGGTTCTCCAGCCAGGTTCTCCAGCCAGGTTCTGTATCCATGTTCCCTCGCTAGGTTCTCCAGCCAGGTTCTGTCCAGGTTCTCCAGGATCTTTTGCCAGGTTCAGTCACCAGGTTCTAGTCAGGTTCTCTTGCCATGTTCTATCCAGGTTCTGTAGCCAGGTTCTGCCTCTAGGTTCTTTAGCCATGTTCTCTCGCTAGGTTCTGTCTCTAGGTTCTGTGGCCAGTTTCTGTTCAGGATCTTTTGCCATGTTCTCTCCAGCGAAGTTCTTCTGTCTCTAGGTTCTGTGTAGGTTCTGTGTCTAGGTTCTGTGTCCTGTTGTCTTGTTACATCTGTATTTATACCAGTTGATTCCAATCCTATCAATCTCTATTCCAAAGGTTAGGGTGTTTATCTCCATTCCAGGGAGTAAAGATTATGTAGCTTAAGCATGATTGTTCGTAGTTAAAGTGATTAATTACCCGCCTGGCACTTAGTTAAGGGGTTTTATTCCCTCCCTAACTTCAGGGGAAAATCCCTACCTGGGGAAACAACCTTTCTCAGAGAGGTGACCTTGGTTAAAACACATAGTGCCAAGAAGGTGAGCAAACATATTAAGAACAGTATGCCATATATGCCAGGTCCCTTGAAGCAGCAAGGATGGACCGGCTCCCGGCACCCAGTGAAGCACACTAACAAATCAGAGCTTTAAACCTGCAGTTATTGACCGGGTGGAGCAGAGTATGACATAAACACAGAAGGCCCAGCCACTGTGGGACCCTGGTTGAGCGTTGACCTAGGAACCAGAAGGTCACGGTTCCATTCCTGCTCAAGGCACATGCCGGGGTTGTGGACCTGATTCAGAGTGTGGGGCGTGTAGGAGGCAGCTGATCAGTGTTTCTCATCAGTGATGTTTCTCTCTCTCCCTCTCCCTTCCTCTCTGAAATCAACAAAAATATATTATGAAAACAACAAACACAGACCTCAATTACTCAACCACAATAAAGGTGTGAAGCCATAGGGCCTGCCTGTCCTGTGTCCAGCAGAAGGCAGCTGCCAGCCACCCAATCCTGGAGGGGCAGGTGTGGTCTTGCAGTCTCCCTGGACTGTGGCCTGGGGCTTCAGGCCTACGTGCATGGCTGGATCACATGTGAGTGACACTGTTCTAGCAGAAAACATTTTATTTAAAAATATATATTTTTTTTATTGACTTCAGAGAGGAAGGGAGAGGAAGAGAGAGAAACATCACTGATGAGAGAGAATCATTGACTGGCTGCCTCCTGCATGCCCCCACTGGGGATTGAGCTTGCAACCCAGGCATGTACCCTTGACCAGAATCGAACCTGGGACCCTTCAGTCCACAGGCCGATGCTCTGTCTACTGAGCCAATCCAGGCAGGGCAAGGTCTTAACCTTTTAACCCAAGGGTGGGCAAACTTTTTGACTCGAGGGCCACAATGGGTTCTTAAACTGGACCGGAGGGCCGGAACAAAAGCATGGATGGAGTGTTTGTTATGTTAACACTGCTGCTGGTGAAGGAGCAGAGGGGAGAGCAAGAGAACCCTCTGCTCTTTTGGCTCTGCGGGCTGGCCGGATAGAACAGCCAAACAGGCCGGATCCGGCCCGCGGGCCGTAGTTTGCCCACGGCTATTTTAACCTGATTCTGCCCATGTTTCCAGATTCTTCTCTCCTATTTCTTTCTTGTGTGTGTGTGTGTGTGTGTTTAACTTTTAAATTCCCTGCACACCTTCCACCTGATAGAATGGTTCACTGAGGCTGGAGGTGGGTTTGTGGCAAGGATCATGGTACACAGCAGGTGCTGAGGCAGGGCAGGTGTGGCCTGGGTTAGGGGGCAGAGTGAGGGTGAGGGGCAGCGCGGGCAGGGCAGGCACGGAACCGTGAGCTTTTCAGCCTGGAAGCTGGCAAGGCCCTTCTGCTAGTAGACAGCCTCATGGATGAACGCGGGGTACCCATGACTCCCCCTCCCAGGGCACATCCTCAGCGCTGAACCTCTGGAAGGTGTGTGTACCGGGCCCAGCGGCTGGAAGCCTCAGTCCCTGGTGGAAGAGCTGGGTGGAGTCCGGAGCTCTGGCCACCAAGGCCCTCAACCTGGTGCAAAGGTCGGCCCGCAGCACTCCGAGGCGGGGGCCCAGCTCTGGGACTGGGGTCCAGGAGGAAACAGGTCAGGCAGGCATCCCAGACACTTGGACACTCCAGACCCCAGGCCCCTGACACCGCCACCCACCTCTCTGCCCATTTCTCGCAACCCTCACCCATGGGCTCCTCTGTGTTCCTGAAAAACAATTGCATTTCTCTCTCTCTCTCTCTCTCTCTCTCTCTCTCTCTCTCTCTCTCTCTCTCTCTCTCTCTTTATTGATTTTTATTGAGAGGAAGGGAGAGGGAGAAACATCAATGTGAGAGCAAAACATTGACTTCTGTCAACTACCCAGTGAAGCACACTAACAAACCAGAGCTTTTCACCTGCAGTTTTTTGTGGGGTTTTTTTGTTTGTTTGTTTTTTTAATATATTTTATTGATTTCTTACAGAGAGGAAGGGAGAGGGATAGAGAGCCAGAAACATCCATGAGAGAGAAACATGGATCAGCTGCCTCCTGCACGCCCCCCACCGGGGATGTGCCCGCAACCAAGGCACATGCCCTTGACCGGAATCAAACCCGGGACCCCTGAGTCCGCAGGCCGAAGCTCCATCCACTGAGCCAAACCGGTTCTGGCTAAACCTGCAGTTATTGACCGGGTGGAGCAGAGTATGACATAAACACAGAAGGCCCAGCCACTGTGGGACCCTGGCTGTGCGTTGACCTAGGAACCAGAAGGTCACGGTTCCATTCCTGCTCAAGGCACATGCCCGGGTTGTGGACTTGATCCAGAGTGTGGGGCGTGCAGGAGGCAGCTGATCAGTGTTTCTCTCTCATCAGTGATGTTTCTCTCTCTCCCTCTCCCTTCCTCTCTGAAATCAACAAAAATATATTATGAAAACAACAAACACAGACCTCAGTTCCTCAACCACAATAAGGGTGTGAAGCCATAGGGCCTGTCTGACCCAGTGTCCAGCAGAAGGCAGCTGCCAGCCACCCAATCCTGGAGGGGCAGGTGTGGTCTTGCTGTCTCTCTGGACTGTGGCCTGGGGCTTCAGGCCTACGTGCATGGCTGGATCACATGTCAGGGACATTGTTCTAGCAGAAAACACTTTATTTAAAAATATATTTTTTTATTGATTTCAGAGAGGAAGGGAGAGGAGAGAGAGAAACATCACTGATGAGAGAATAATTGACCGGCCGCCTCCTGCACACACCCCGAACCCCCTCACTGGGGATCAAGCCTGCAACCAGGCATGTGCCCTGACTGGGAATCTAACTGTGACGTCCTGGTTCATAGGTCAACACTTATTTTCTTTTTAATATATTTTATTGATTTTTCACAAAGAAGAAGGGAGAGTTTGAAACTTCGATGAGAGAGAGACATCAATCAGCTGCCTCCTGCACACCTGCTCCTGGGGATGTGCCTGCAACCAAGGTACATGCCCTTGACCAGAATCGAACCTGGGACCCTTCATTCCGCAGGCCGATGCTCTATCCACTGAACCAAACCGGTTAGGGCAACACTTATTTTCTTATTAAAAAATTGAAGACCTGTACCTTGCTTCTTACCACCCCCTCTCCTCTTATCCCCACCCTGTTCTTTCTCTTTACAAAGCTTTTTCCCATCACCTTCCCATTTAACCTTTGCTGCCATTTTGCATTTGTCCAGGTGAGGAAGGGGAAGGAGGAACGTACAAGAGGACAGGGTTGTGCTGGGGAAGGCATAATGGCCTTGCTTTGCTGTGGGCAATTCTCTCATTCCTCTTCGATTAATTTCTGTGTCAGTTATTACTAAAGTTATAAACTTGTCATATGTTCAGTTTTACAATTGATTTGAAAAGATACTTTAAAGCAAAAAAAACCAAACCCACAAATTTATTTTATTTCTTTATTTTGTTATTTTCCATCGCCATTTATTCCCCCATACCCTGGTCCATGTCCATGAATTCTCTTTTTTTGCTCAATCCCTCCACCCCTCTCACCCCACCCCCATCAGAGCTGTCTGCCTGTTCTCTATGGGTCTGTTTCTATAGTGTGTTCTTTCTCTTAGGAAAATATTCAAATGCAGTTATTTGTGACCATACTTTCACAGGGGTCGCCTAGGACCATGGGAAAACACATATTTTCGATGGTTTTAGGAACCGAGACACCTCTCCTCTATCCGTCTCCAGGCGGGTCCGCCCACATGCAGATACGCCCACTGTTTTAGTGACAGCGTTTAAATTCCCTGGAACTTAACCATTCAGAAATCAGGTAAACGTGTAAAAAATCACTTTAAAAGCAGCTTATAAACTCGTTGGGAGATCAGAATCTGGGTAAATGATTAAGACATCCCCCTAGATCCAATCTCAGCTTCTTTCCTTTCTTGGAAGAAAGCATCGTGAAATCTGTAAGTTCCTAAGAAATACAGATATTTGCCATCGGTGGCATTTCTGAGGAGGACCTTTGAATTGTAACAAGTGTCTGAGCCTCTACCAGGTTTCCATTTGATTCAGTAACGTGGTGAGGGTTTCCCGGCCTGATCATAGTCACTGGGCATGATGAGAACCGGGTGTGTGTCCACCTCCGTTATCTTAAGTCGCCCATTCAGGCATGCCTACATGTTTCCTTTCGTTTTGTTGAATTGTTCAACGTTAGGTTTAAATTATGGTCAGATCCAGGTGGAGGGTCACTCGGAGACTTGTCCCCACAAAAAGACAGCTGAACCCCAACTACCTGTTCGCATGTGATAATGAATGCCCCCAACCTTCAGGGTCAGAAGCCAGTGGAAGACTCGACCATACAATCTGATCACCAATTCAAGGGCGATCTGAAGGTCCCAGTAGTCGAGGTCGGGTTTTTTCCCCCGAGTTTCGGGAACAAAAGAAGTCTTCTCAAGCCGAGACGTGGAGGCGTTGGTTTTACATTTACTCGAAAGTAAATCAAATCAAGGACGGGGAGTGTCCGCACGCGCCTCGCTGCTTCTCCTTCCTTTCGGGGCCAGCGGCTGGGGAAGGAAGGGCTGCGTCCATTCTTCGGGGGGCGCCCGACCCTGGGGAAAAAGGCTTCTTCTCCAGCCGGGAGGGGGGAGGAAACGGCGCACAAAAGCAGCCCGACTGCTTCCTGATCAGCGTCCCGGAGAAGGGTGGACAAAGGGGAAACACAAAGGGGTCGGCGCGGAACTCCCGCCCCGAGCGGCTTTAACTCGCGCGAGGCGTCGGGCCAATCAGCGCCGCGCTTCCTCCGGCCGCCGGCCAATGGCGGTGCGCGTTCTTGGGGCGTGGGCGGAGCCGGCTGCTTTTGTTGGCTGTCGCGTGTGGGCTGGGTCGGTGCGGGCTGCACTTGGCCCGCGGTTCTGCTCCGGGGCTTTTGTGTCCGCCTTTTGCTTTGCTTTCTGTGCGCGTTTTTGTTTTTGTTTTTGTCTTTTTTTTTTTTTCCTCCGCGCGCTGCTCCCCAGCGGAAGCCGGGAGGCTCGGAGGCAGCAGCCCTCACCCCGGGCGAGGAGCGAGCGCGCCGGCGGGAGCACCGGAGTGGCGGCTGCGGGGAGAGGGGTTCGCCGCGGAGATGGCGGAGTTCCTGCAAGACCCCTGGGTCCTGACGACGGAGAAGCTGAAGAGGGAGCTGGTGGCCCACAATGTGCCGCTGCCGGCGGGGCAGCCGCGCAAAGACGTGTACGTGCAGCTCTACCTGCAGCACCTCACGGCGCGCAACCGGCCGCCGCTCGCCGCCGGCGCCGACAGCCAAGCGCCCCCGGACTTGTCCGGCGACGAGGAGCGCAAGCCCAGCCCCGTCCTCACCGCCCCGGTCCTCGCCGCCCCCGTCCTCGCCGCCGCGGGCCGCAGCCGCAGGGTAAGGGCGCCCGGCCCGGGCCACCAAGGCGGCCGTTTGGCGGTGGTCGGGAAACATGGTGGCAACCATGTTGGGGTAAATGTTTCATAGTTTAACCCTGCGGACTTGGCTTCTGTCCTTATTCGCTTGCTAAAGTAATAGAAAAGTTCTTTTGATTTTCTGAATTAGACAAATATACCATCCGATGGAATACCTTATTGGTTGTCATGTGGATGCCCCATTGGTTGTGGTCATACTGGTTTGGGAAAGCACATTCCTCTGCGCCTGGGAACCAGGACAGAGCAATTATCCTAAATGGCCTCGATGGCTCCAGATAATGTGTTTCCGGTGGACCCAGTGGTCCCCAGACCCAAAACTATAATTAATCTTCGTAGATAACTCATCGGCTCCATTTCGCTTCTGTAACTGCTTTGTGCAAACCAGGTCCCTCATTCCAAACCCAAAGATGTAATCGATACCTTTGCGATCTTTGCATATATAAAATCTGTTGCTGCGGCCATCTTAGGACCCCGAGATTTGGAGTGAGTGCGTGGCCTCCTCTTAGTCCCGGATTTGCAATAAATGTGACCCCTAATTCGACTTCTTGGGGCGTCTTGGTGTGATTCGCGGGGGACATTACAACAGTCGCTCCCCCACCGCGTGCTCGCGGGCCTCCAGGGCGGCGGAGCTGGACCGGGTTTGCCGGCCTCGGGAGGGGAGGGCGCTGGAGAGGAGGGTCCCGGAGTTGGGGCTGCAGGGCGGGCGTCTGGGCTGAGAGTGCCTAGGAGGCGTGAAGTGCGCGTGCGCGGGGAGGGGGGGTGTGGGGGGGGCTCGGTGTTGGGGGACCGGCCGCGGGGATGGTCTTTGCTCCGGGGACTGAGCCCTTTTCGGAAGCGCTTAGGAGGGGTCAGCCCGGAAGCACCCCGGGTCACCTGCGAGCGCTTTCCCGCTTTAACTGCGGCGGCTGGTAACCGAGTCTCGGAGCGCCCCCTGGAGGGCAATTTGTGCATACTAATTTCTCACCAAACTTTGTGAAATAGGGAAAATTCTGTTTCTTTGTGATGGGGCGGGGCCACAACATTAGTAAGGAAGAAACCGTTTCCGGAGGATGAGGCCCAGAAATCAGGATTTTAAAGAGTCCCAGGTGATTCTGATGTGCAGCCAAGATTGAGAACGACTGTCTTAGACACTCAAACATTGTAAAATTCTGGTTTTAAGGGCTTGGGTTTTTTGGATTTTTGGGGGGTCAGTTTTGTAGGGGGAAAGCAAAGACATGAATCACGAGACACGTCTATTTCATGACATTCTGGTATGTGAGTGTCACAGTTTGGAATATCTAATCGCTGGTAAATCTCAGATTGGCTCCAGCAAATGGATATTTTGTTTTGAGAACAGCTTGGGGGTTTTGTTGGGTGGGTTTCTATATGTTGTTTTGCTGGTAAGAATCAAACTAGTTACCAGACTTCAAATCCTAACAGAAGGTAGGACAGTGCTTTGTAAGACTTAATATTGAGCTTGAAGCTGTTGATGCTAATTATTGGTATAATTCAGAAGTACTTCTTTCCAAGTTATGTTGTTTAACTTTAGTTTTAAAAGGTCTATCTGAGGTGCTTTCTGGACTATCCTATAGAAATGAAAGAAAGATGTAATAGATACAGGTAAATTTAATTGAAAATCTTAGCCTGGGCTTTCAAGAATTGAAAATCTTGTAACTTAAACCAGTGCCTGGAAAATAGTAGTACCAGGTCTGTATTTGTTCAGTACATAAAAGACTGCTGGGCCGGAATGGCTCAGTGGTTAAGCGTTGACCTATGTACCAGGAGGTCACATTGAATTCCAGGTCAGGGCACATGTCCGGGTTGCCCATGGAATTGCAGATGGATCGGTACCAGAGGCAGCCAGCCAGTGATTCTCTCCATCTCTCTCTCTCTCTTCCCCCCCTTCCTCTCTGAAATAAATATATATATTTTAAAAATAATAAAGAAATAAGCAAATAAAAGACTGACCTTATTGTTTTTGTGGATTTGAAGAAAGCCACTTGACTCTTCCATAAAAAAAACCAGAAATTTACATTTGAAGTAAAGCATATCCCTTATCTGTTTTTCTCCAGGCCCTCTGAAAAAGAAAGTAATGCTCAAACTATTTCAGTAAAGATTTGCCTGAAAATGAAATGTTTTCTATTTAAACGAGCACACTTTAAAAAAAAAACAAACAGGCCTTCTATAGAACCCTATCTTGGTCTGTGCAAACATTCTTTTTTTAAAAAATATATTTTTATTGCTTTCAGCGAGGAAGGGAGAGGGAGAGAGCTAGATATGTCAAGGATGAGAGAAAATCATTGATTGGCTGTCTCCTGCATGCCCCGTACTGGGGATCTAGCCCGCAACCCAGGCACGTGCCCTTCACCGGAATGTAACCCAGGACCCTTCAGTCTGCCAGCCGACCCTCTATCCCCTGAGCCAAACCGGCCAGGGCCAAACATTCTTTTTTGTTGTTAATTCTTCACCGAGGGTATTTTGTTGTTGATTTTTAGAGTGGAAAGGAGGGAGGGAGGCTGGGAAAGAATTCGGGGTTGGCAACACTGTGGTGAGGTTGTGAGAGGAACATATTGACTGGTTTCCTCCTGCAGGAGCCCTTACAACCTACACCTGCAAACCAGGCATATGCCCATATCCAGGAATCAAACTTGAGACCCTTATATCCACGGGCCAATGCTCTAACTACTGTGCAACACTGGCCAGGACACAAACATTCTTGAACCATAGAAGTATTTGGTTGTATGTTTTATAATAGCACTAGAGTCCCAGTGCACAAAATTTGTGCACTGGGTGGTGGTGGGGGGGGGGTTTCTCAGCCTGGCCTGCGCCCTTTAACAGTCTGGGACCTCGCTCCTTACCGCCCACTTGCTCCACCTGCTGGTTGCTCCTCAGTGCTGCCCTGAGCCCAGCTTCTGGCTGATCAGCGAGCACACTGACCACCAGGGGGCAGCTACTGCATTGAGCGTCTGCCCCCATGTGGTCAGTGTGTGTCATAGTGACCTGTCATTCTGCCCTTTGGTCAATTTGCATATTAGGCTTTTATTATATAGGATTACTGTTCTTATTTTGATGATTCATTTTCTACAAAAACAACCACCTTGGGTTTGATACTCGTTCTTCAATTCATTTTTAGAAGAGTTTGCCCCAACCTACCCTGTATTTGAAATTTCAGTTTAATGACTCAACATTTTTTTAGTTCCTGTCTTATGCTCTTAAGTACTGGAGATGGATTTCTGCTGACCCTGCCCACCACCTTAATTTATTATTCTTTATTTTTTGTATGATAATCATGTTTGTTATTTTTGTTATCAACAAATTCCCCATATTATCCAAGTTGTTTATTGTTTAGCTCTATGCAAATAAATTCTGGGTGAAAGGAATTAACATTTTAAGAGAACCTACTATGTTCAGTGGCATCCTAAGTCTTTTATATGTCATTTCATGTTTTGATATGTATAGAGAAAAACTTCCACTGCCATAGATTTAGGACCTCTCTACTTGTGTATTTAAAACTCAAAAAAAAATATGCATCCTTGGCTAGGCTTAATAGTATAAACAACTTGAAGATAATAGTGGGCCCTAGCTGGTTTGGCTCAGTGGATAGAGCGTCAGCCTGCAGACTGAAGGGTCCCAGGTTCGAATGTGGTCAAGGGCATGTGCCTTGGTTGCGGGCTCGATCTCCAGTAAGGGGTGTGCAGGAGGCAGCTGATCAATGATTCTCTCCCATTGTTGGTGTTTTTATCTTCCTCTGCCTTCCTCTCTGAAGTCAATAAAAAGATTTTTTTAAAATAGTCTCTTAAAAAAATAGTTAATAGTGGTAGTTGGTCAATAACATCATAAAAGCAGAAATTTAAAATCGTCTGTTATAATTTAACTTAGGAGTGTAATAGACAGATTTGTCAGACATAGGAAAAATACCTTGAATATATAGGAAAAGCATCTTGGCATTTTTAATAGTGAAATTATTCTCTATTGAACATTCCTCTTACGTGTACAACATTTTACGTTCTAGTCATTGTTAGCCCTGTTTATAGCAACAATATAGACTCACATTTTTTTTTAATGGGAACATGGGAAGAATTAACTTTTTATTATTATTGATTTCAGAGAGGAAGGGAGAGGAAGAGAGAAACATCAGTGGTGAGAGAATCATTGATTGGCTGCCTCAAGGCTCTCTGGGATCAAGCCTGCAACCCAGGCATGTGCCCTGACTGGGAATCAAACTGTGACCTCCTGGTCCATAGGTCAGTGCTCAACCACTGAGCCACACCAGCTGGGCTAGACTCACATTTTAAGTCAATCTGTGGATTTGGCCAAAGGCATAGCATTTAAACATGGCTTTATCAGGAATATTTTTTAAAAGAATGTTCTTACTGATTTTAGAGAGAGATGAGGGGAGAGAGAAACATGTGAAAGAAACCCATCGGTTGCCTCTCATATGCACTCAGACCAAGGCTAGAACCCACAGCCTAGGCATGTGCCCTGCTGGTGAATCAGACCAGCCACCTTTTGTGCAAGGACGACACTCAGCTACCTGAGCACTTGTTTTCTGTCATTGCTGTGGTCTCTCAGGTTCATTTGATGTAACATGACAAAAATGTTTGCATGTCCAAAATTTGCTTTTGGTTTTTATTTTATGCATTTGGGTCATTACCGGTATTTTTAGGTGTTGAGATGATCTAGATTGTTGTCACAAAATAAACATTTACAAAGTTGGCAGTCTACCTGTTACTGCCAAGAGGCGAGGCCCTGTGGCAATTTTGAATTCAGTGGACCATAACATTCTTGAATGGTCTTGCTCTGGTCAGGATTATGAATTCTTGCCAGGAAATATTTGAAGACATGAAACAAAACATTAAAAAGTATGCTAATGTTTCCTGGCCAGTTTGGCTCAGTGGTTAGAGCATCAGCCCTTTGACTGAAGGGTCCCAGATTCTATTCCGGTCAAGGGTGTGTACCTTGGTTGCAGGTACAAATCCTCTA